AGAATTAGCAGCAGCAGCAGTAACAGCAGCAGCAGCAGCAGCAGCAGTGACAGCAGCAGCAGCAGTACCAGGTGGAGGTAGGTTCTTCTTCTCTCTTGTCTCTTGACAAGAGCTGAAAAAATAGTTTTGGTGCAAATGTAGTTTATGTTGTTGGTACTTAGAAAAAGGTTTAACTCTGGTTTGACTCTGGTTTAACTCTGGTCTGACTCTGGTCTGACTCTGGTTTAACTCTGGTCTGACTCTGGTTTAACTCTGGTTTGACTCTGGTTTAACTCTGGTCTGACTCTGGTCTGACTCTGGTTTAACTCTGGTCTGACTCTGGTCTGACTCTGGTTTAACTCTGGTCTGACTCTGGTCTGACTCTGGTTTAACTCTGGTCTGACTCTGGTTTAACTCTGGTTTGACTCTGGTTTGACTCTGGTTTAACTCTGGTTTGACTCTGGTTTGACTCTGGTTTAACTCTGGTTTATCTCTGGTTTAACTCTGGTTTAACTCTGGTTTGACTCTGGTTTGACTCTGGTTTGACTCTGGTTTAACTCTGGTTTGACTCTGGTTTAACTCTGGTCTGACTCTGGTCTGACTCTGGTTTAACTCTGGTTTGACTCTGGTTTAACTCTGGTTTAACTCTGGTCTGACTCTGGTCTGACTCTGGTTTAACTCTGGTTTGACTCTGGTTTGACTCTGGTTTGACTCTGGTTTAACTCTGGTCTGACTCTGGTTTAACTCTGGTCTGACTCTGGTTTAACTCTGGTTTGACTCTGGTTTAACTCTGGTTTAACTCTGGTTTGTAGTCGATCATCAGAGAAGTTTGTGTTTTGATGTCATCTGAACATAAAACAACTTTTTTTACCACCACAGTTCTTACAAAATGTACCACACACACACACACACACACACACATATGTATGTGTGTGTGTGTGTCTGTGTGTGTGTGTGTGTGTGTGCAGAGAAAGGTCATTTTTTAAAAACATAATTGATTAAATGCCTTGACTCACGTTGGACCATAAACACATTTTCTGACTGTGAGTCAACGACCACATGATGGCGACGGTGACCAGACTGACAGAGACCCTGTGTCCTGCTGATGGGATTAGAGCTGGTATGAAGACAATCTGCTGACCTCCTCCCAGACTGGGGGGGGGGGAAGGGGGGGGGGTTACCTCCTCACCTCCTGTCTCCCCCCTGATGACTCCTCTTTCTGCTGTAGATTCTTCTGGAACGTCCTGATGAGCAGCGACCGGCCCCCCCCACCTTATCAGCCTCTTTACCCAGAGGCCCCTGCGTTCCCTCCAGGTTGGTCACTGGAGAAACAGAGTCAGAGCCTGTTACTGTAGGTCAACAGGGGGCGCTCACAGCACCAAACCACATGTCTCTAAAACTCAGGGTTTAGGATTGTTGAATTATAAGACAGAAGGATGGATGAAGGATGGATGAAGGATGGATGAAGGATGGATGAAGGATGGATGAAGGATGGATGAAGGATGGATGAAGGATGGATGAAGGATGGATGAAGGATGGATGAAGGATGGATGAAGGATGGATGATGAAGGATGAAGGTGAAGGATGGATGAATGATGATGGATGGGTGAAGGATGGATGAAGGCTGGATGAAGGATGGATGGATGATGATGGATGGGTGAAGGATGGATGAATGATGATGGATGGGTGAAGGATGGATGAATGATGATGGATGGGTGAAGGATGGATGAAGGATAGATGATGGATGAAGGCTGGATGACGGATGGATGAGGAAGGATGGATGAATGATGATGGATGGGTGAAGGATGGATGAATGATGATGGATGGGTGAAGGATGGATGAATGATGATGGATGGGTGAAGGATGGATGAAGGATGAAGATGAAGGATGGATGAGCCTGTTACCTGTGCTTGTGTCTCTACAGTTCTCAGCTCCCAGCATGCCACAGTCCCAGGATCACCGTTCCAGGTAACACAGATGTGACTGAATATTTGACGTGATCACATGACCAACACTGAGGTGATGCTGGGTCACATGACTGTCTCCCCCAGAACTTCATGGGTGGAGGAGACCAGTCCTACTACTCTGGACCTCCAGAACCGATGGGACCCTCAGGGACCTTCTACCTACAGCCTGGGTATCAGGGGTACCACGCCGGGCCCCGGGCACCACTGCCTTACAGTGAGACCCCAAAACAACCAGGTAGGTCAAAGGTCAGGGGTCAGGTCTACCAGGACCTGGACCTGAGCCGATCCTGGTCCAGACGGCACGGTGGTGAAGTGTGTCTCAACTCTGCTGTCTCTGTCTCTCTGTCAGTGTACATGCTGGAGCAGCAGGAACCACACGGGGGCGCCGACGAGTCGTGTCTGACAGGACTGCTCCCTGCTCTCTGCTGCTGCTGCCTCTGGAACGTGCTCTTTCGTCGCTTCTGTTGACCTCTGACCCCGACCTTCCCATCATGCAGCAGGGCACAGAGTTATGGCACCAAACCTTTTCACAGGAATAAAAAAAAAAAGTAAATCAGTGCTTTAACCACAGGAAGAACGGGGTCGAGATCATGTGACATGGCGGGCACTGACTGGTCACTGACTGGTCACCGACTGGTCACCGACTGGTCACTGACTGGTCACTGACGCTGGTTGAACGACGTCAGAGTTCAAGTTTTTGTTGCTAAATTTAACGTGTGTGAATCATATATGAATAAAGTTCTAAAAAGCTGCTGAAAGTCTCGCTGTGATTGGACGTTGACTTCTGACCAATACCACCATCAACGTTTCTGGTTTCTCCACCACTTCAGACTTTTTAATTATCATATAATTATATATATGATTAATGACTCGTTGTTTTTCCATTTGTGACCACACGAGGGCGTCAAAGTGCTGTGAAGTTTAACTCGTGCTATGAGCTGATGCTTCGATTTTGATGACGATGATGATGATGATGATGAAGACTCATGTTCATCCAAACTCAGAGACTTTTCCGTCACTTTTCTTACGTCTTTCCTCCTCTGGCTAATGCTATGCTAACGTTATTCTTTTTTCTTTGTTTATTTTACGGTCATTATTGTCACTGTACCACAGGACGGAACTGAGCCTCTGCTTTTACCCCATCACCAAGGGCAGCAGTGTGTGGGGACGGTGCAGTGGAGCAGTGGAAAGTGTCCGATGTTTTTCGTTGTTGTTTGTTTTGTCTCTTCTCACGTACAGACTGTGCGCAGGTGAACAACAGGCGGCGCTGCCATAAAAGGCCGCAGCGTTTACGACACCGTCATCATCATACTTTCCATAAAGTGAAGTTTATTGTCCTCCGACGGGTTAATGTTTGAGCTGGAGACAGGTGACCAGATGAACCAGGGAGTGGTGTGGGTGGGGGGGGGGGGGGGGGGGAGTCGCACTTCACTTTATCTCCGTCTGTCCTGTTTTCAACCAGGTTTAAAAGAAAATATTTAAAGGTTTGGTTTTGACTCTGGGATGAGCGGGAAACATGAATAATAATTATAATTATTATTATTATTATAATTATAATAATATTTTTATTTATTAATTTTTTTTTCATCCTCATCGTTTTTTTTTTGTCTTCGGTTCAGATTTAAAATGTAACTAAAACAGTTTTGTTTTAAATAAAACAAATAATAAATGACTTTTTTGTTCATTGAATTTTATATTTTAATAATAAAATTATTAAATTATTATTAATTATTATTAATTTTTCTGTCGTTTAACAATAAATTACGAAAATGTTTTTTTTTTGCGTTTTTTTTGCAGTTTTTAAAGTCACTTTTGTGTGTGTGATAAAATGAAAAGAACAGAAAAAATATCTCAGAAATAAATAATTATTTTATTTATTTATTATTATTATGAACAAATTATCAGAATTTAAACAGAATTTATAAATCAATAAGTCAATTATGAACGAAATATTATTATTATTATATTTAACTTATTATTTTGAGATGTTTGAAAAAAAAAGGTTCCAAAATATTAGGGTTAAAAAACGACAGTTGTTTATGTATTTATTAAAGGTGAATCAGCACAAACGCTGGAAACATTCTGTCAGTGTGTGTGTGTGTGTGTGTGTGTGTGTGTTTTATTACAGTAAAATAAACTGAAATTAAATAGTAATTTAATTTAACAAAGGTGTTAAATAATCAATACATCTGTCAAACACCCACTGTGTGTGTGTGTGTGTGTGTGTGTGTGTGTGAGAGAGTGTGTGTGTGAGAGTGTGTGTGTGTGTATACCGTCTGAACAGTATGGTATGTTTTATGTGATTTTACTGCAGTAAACTAAACTAAATACTCATCAGTGTAAAACAATAAATCTGCCATAAATCCATAAACATGAAGTGAAATCTCTTCAGGACGGGGGGGGGGGGTCACTGTGTCGAGGTTGTGGGTTTAATTCCCTCTTCACAGCTAATTTGTCTGATATAACGTCAGAAATTCTGTTTAAAAAACATTTTTAGAAATCGTTTATAAAAGAAAATCGGGGACAAAAAATAGATAATAATAATAACAATAATAAATTATAATAATAATTATTATTGTTGTTATTATTATTATTATTATTGTTGTTGTTGTTGTTGTTATAACAGTGGAATCCTCTTGTGAAAATGTAAAGAGAATTTAATTTTTAATTCCTGTTCAAATCCATTTAAAAAACGATTCATTCTGTTTTTCAGGTTCAAATGAAAAAATAATAATAAAAAAAATTCAAACAGAAACAAACAATAAACCAAAGACTGCCTGGAGCCTCAACGGCTGGTTGGCGGTCCAAATCCATCACACTTATCTGCACATGGTCCGGACCTGTTCTGACTACGGTCATCTGTTGCTATAGCAACCACGGGTCAGTAACGCGCCACGAAACCGACAGAGACCGACCGGAAGGTCTGACGTCATCAGTGACGGTGCTCCTTTGATCAGAACTGTTTGAAATGCACACACTGTCATGGTAATGAGCACAGGAGACAGGTTAGAGCTGGGGGGGGGGAGTGGGGGGGTCTGTGACCTGTGGACCCACGGGATTCATTTCAGTTCAATCCGTCCTCTGACTGAACCGGTACTGTTTTAAGGAACTGATTTAAAATATAATTAAAGTTTGATGTTTGTAGCGGGGGGGGGGCGGGGGGGGGCCTCGACGAATCAAACCTGGACCGGGGTTTAGGGTCGGCCTCCTGTGACGGCAGGAACGGATCAGAGTTCTGGTCCTGTTTCAAACTCGGTTCCATTACTGTGGATAATAGTGACGTCACAGCCGGGAACCGCAGCTGAGTGAATTCCGCTAGAACTTTCTTTAACTGAAGTAAAACTCGTCGGTTTGGCTTCAAATTGTCACTCTTTTAACGTCAAACTGGTAGTGACGTCATCAGCTGCTGCAGTGGCGCTGGGCTGTGGTGGAGTTCTACTTTCAACAGGACGTTGGTCAGTTGTACAGGTGGAGGTGTGACCTCCTCCTCCTCCTCCTCCTGCTCCGTTCCTCCTCCCTGCTGCAGGTCCAGCCTCAGCACCTCCTCCTCCTCCTCCTCCTCCTCCTCCTCAGTTGGACCCGCAGCAGCAGCAGGTGAGAGTCAGACTCAGACTGGATCCTCCTCAGTGCGCCCACAGCGCCCCCCCACCTGCCGGTCCAAACATGTACGTCAGTTACCTGCTGGACAAAGACTCGTCCATGTACCCGCACCAGAACTCCGTCCCCAGACACCCGGGCCTCAGCCTCAGCCCGCAGAACTTCCCGGTGCCGGGCCCTCCTCCTCCGCCTCAGTACCCGGACTTCGCCGGTTATCACCACCACCACCATCACCACCACCACAGTCTGGGAAATGACCCGCACTCGGCCATGCAGCAGGCGGCAGGGCCCGGCTCCGCGGCGGGCGGCTGGAGCCCGGTTTACCCGCCTCCTCCCGGGCCTCCTTCCTCCTCCACCCCCTCCAGGGAGGACTGGACCTCCCATCACTACGCCGCCGCGGCCGCGGCCGCCGCGGCAGCAGCGTCGGGCGCCTCGACGATTCCCGGGTCGGTGGGGCCCACGCTGGGCTTCAGCCCCCCGGAGTTCGCCGAGCAGCCGACCGCCCTGCTGCCCACCTCTCTGAACGCATCTGCGGGGCCTCTGTCTCCGGGCTCCCCGCAGAGGAGGAACCCGTATGAGTGGATCCGCCGGAGCTCCGCTCCCCCCTCCAACCCCAGTAAGTCACTGTGTTCGAGTTTCTTCTGTGACGTCACAAGCTCCTTCATATTTCATCTTTTTCACATTTATTTTCATTTCTGGAATCGAACCCTGACCCGCAGCTGTGGCGCCGTGTTTTTTAAAAACTCCCCTTTTTGTCTTTAAATCCCGTGGATTGTTTGAATTAAAAGAAAAAAGTGATTCAATATTTTTTTAATTCCTTATCGAATATCGATTTATTACATTTGATCGTTCTTTGTTCAATTGAATTTAATCCGCGTCAATCTTGAACTTTCCCTCAAAATTATAACTATAATAAAAGTAATAATTATAATAATTATTATTACTTTATTATTGTTATTAGTATTATATTATTATTGTTGTTATAATTGTTATTATTACTGTCACATTTTGTAACAAATACTGTACAAACATCTAAATAATCGTTGGTCGTTAACGCTGTGTGTCCACATCAGTTGTCACTGGTTAATCACTGGTTAATCACTGGTTAATCACTGGTTAATCCCTGGTTAATCCCTGGTTAATCCCTGGTTAATTGCGTGTCACTTGATGTGATTATTCATTTCTGTCAGTTTTTTATTTTTAGTTATAATAACTGATCGACGCTGCTTGGTGCTGATTGGTCAGGGAGTTCTGATGACGCGGTGTTAAAGTGTTGAAGGTGAATTTATTTGTATATTTGATGCCAATCCGGACCGCGGTGTCGGTCGATACTTCTCTGAACACCGCGGTGTCTCCACTCGTTTAAACTCTGATGTTGGCTGACATTTTTATTTTTAAGTTACAGTCGTGACTGTGTCCAGTCAGCAGAGGTCAGGGAAAAGGTCAGCAGAGGTCAAATGTGACCTGATCATTTACACAGTGACGGTCAGTCACGGCGAGTGCAGCGACCAATCAGAAAAAGCGAATAGACGGAGATCGGTCAACAACAGGAGCGGGGAGTGACGTCATCAGTGAGTGTAGTTGTTGTTTGTCAGTTGACTATTTCACTTCTCTGCTCCGTTCGTTCGTTCGTCACATTTAAATGGTTCCTGGACGACGGCAGGTGTGTGTGTGTGTGTGTGTGTGTGTGTGTGTGTGTGACAGATAAAGAGGAACATGAACAGTGAACAGTTTTCTCCACTTCACGTCATCTTCATCATCTTCATCTTCATTTGTTTCTGTATCACGTTTTGAAGAATAATCCCGTCGTTCTGTCAATTCTCATTCTCGTCAATTTACGAATTTGTTTAAAATAAATTCATAAAAATGTTAACTTCCGGTACAACTTCGTTTTACCGCTGTTATAATTTTCGAATAATTTTACGACCTCGTCGTGATAAACTTCATTCGAGTGAATTCACGACTTTGTTTCCATCGATTCTCGAATTCGTTCGTTAAATAAATCGATGTATCGACTTAAATCGACTTCATGTTCAACTGTATCGTTTATTATAATTTACTCTCAGTTTAACTCTTTTAATTCACATCAAACTTCATTCTAATTATTTTACGACTTTATTGTCAAATTTACGACCTCCCTCTGTCACGTCTGTCTTCCGACTTTCCCACCGTGGACGTCAGTCGTCAGTCACGTGTCATCAGTCTGATGTCGCGTCCTGTCGTCGGATCAAACGCGTGAACCCGGGTCTGAAGCCGTTCTTATGGAAATGCGTTCCCGCTGCTGCGGGTGCGCGCGACCGCGGAGCTTTTGTTCAGCGCTTTGTTTCAGGGCGGAGTTGACAAGATGGAGGCGACTTTGAAGTGTGTGTGTGTGTGAGAGAAAGAGTAAATACACACACCGACTTCAAAGTCAAGAGAAAAGTTTGTTCCACAAAAATTGTGGTAAAAACGAATTAATGAAAAAATAAAAATCGAAACAGGAAGTGGAGACGCGGCGGAGCAGAGCTGCAGGTCACTGCCGCCACGGGGACCTCAGGTTGTCGGTTCAATCGCAGCTGGAACAGTCGACATGAAGTCACCGTCGTGATCTACTGACCTCATCCAGAGGGTCAAAGGTCACCGTTACTAGAACTGTTCATCTGGAACAGGGGGGAGGGGGTGGAGGGGGGGGTGATTTACACACCTTCATCTGTGAATGTTTTAATGGAGCAGAAAGTGTTGAGTTCACACAGATGTTGGACTTTAGCTGTGGCTCAGTGGTCAGAGGGCGTGTGTGTGCGTGTGTGCGTGTGTGTGTTTAACGTTAATGGAGAATCACAGCGTGTTAATGAGCTGACTGCAGTCTCCCCTGGTCTCAGAACATTCCTGGGTTCAGGCCCATGGTCCAGGTCTGAGCTCCTGGTCCTGTTAGTCACTGGTCACTGGTCACTGGTCACTGGTCACTGACCGAACCGAGCCGGCGGCTAAAGGTTAGCCAAGAACGTAGCCCAGAGCAGAAGTCTTAGCTTAAAGTCACGACCAGTTCCTCAGACGCTGCAGCAAACAGTACCAGGAGCTCGGCACCGTGAGAAAACAGTACCAAAACCAACGGTCAGAGTGGCTGGTAAACAGTTCTTTGTACTGACTGGTTCTCATCCACCGACACACACATCGTCTCAACAACTTCCTGTTTCACAGATGGAAAAACTCGCACCATAGACAAGTACCGCGTGGTCTACACCGACCACCAGCGCCTGGAGCTGGAGAAGGAGTTCCACTACAGCAAATACATCACCATCAGGAGGAAGGCGGAGCTTGCTGTGGCCCTGAACCTATCAGAGAGACAGGTACGCTAACACACCTCGGTCACAGCTCCACCTGCTGGTGCCCTCACTGACAAACGTTGTTCACGTAGACGTGTTTAACCGCTGCACCACAGGACTAACAGAACCGATCTTCCGTCCAGGTGAAGATCTGGTTCCAGAACCGGAGAGCAAAGGAGCGCAAGATCAACAAGAAGAAGCTCCAGCAGCCGGCCTCCTCCACGACCACGCCCACGCCTCCTGCGGGGAACG